ACCACCAGACGACTGCAGGGAACCAGGGCGGCGCGCATCCTTTCGTAAAGTCACTACCAGGCCACGCCCAGCACCAGCATCCGCACTATCCCTGGCATTGGAAGCCACCACACCTCACTGCAGAGAGTCCCCTGGCGGTGAAGGAACAGAAGGCACACCCGAGACACAGGCACCAGCACCAGCAGGCACATGGACCTCCGCCACAAACAACCGCGGAGACATCGACACATCCGGATCTACACCGTCAACACTCAACAACCCACAGTCACTGAAGTCCCCAACATCGGCCCAGGCAGAAGATGAAAGCCAGGAACGTTTGGGCTTCGGCCAGATATCTTCAGAGCCGGAAGCTGACCCAGAAACACGGTCACCACCAGCCGGATGAATCGACGCCCGACGCAGAACTGCAGTAGCCTCTACCACAGGGGGAACCGGGCCACACACAGCAGGACGCTCCGCAGCCACCCCAACACCCACACATCTGGGACCCGAGGCGAGGACACAGGGCCAGGCGCAGCAGCTGAAGACGAGGGAGAAGACAGCGACGCCCCACAGTGAGCACCAGGAAGGCCCACGGGAGCAGCGGGTACATCGACAGGAGCAGGTAGACCATCCGACGGCACTGCAATACCCGGAGCAGGGTCTGCAACAACCGGAAGAACGTCGGGCGACGCAGAGGGAGCCGCATCAGCTAACCGTATGCTCACCCCCTCATCCTCGGAGGCCTCCTCTAGAGGGAGCGGCGGGAAATCCTCCTCACGGAATAAATTTACGGGAGCAACCGAATCAGCAGTGCACCCGGCAGCCTGATGCCCCAACATGCCACACCGGAAACAAGTACGGGGTTGCCGGGCATAAAACACCCGCACGTAGTACCCTAAAAGTCGGACAGAGGATGGAATGTCCGACCTCTGTCGCATCCCGAGGGTACGAGTGTTGGTCTTCACACCCGAATATTTCCCAGAAGACAGCGAGTGCATCCGCACACTGACGACGGGGCCATACCTCTGGAAGAAACGCCGGAGGAGGGTCTCAGGAAACTCCATGGGGACTCCATGGACACTCACATACGTCACTGCACAGCTTCGGTCCGAAATGGGCACAGACCCGTTGCCGCCCCTCGTACCGTCAGAGAAAGTCACGGTACACTGCCTCTCCCACAAACTTGATGATCACACGGCGAGCAGTGACCAGCTCAACACCGTAGACGTCCATGACCGGGACCTTGAGTATACCACACATGACCAACTCCACGAGAGGGTATCCCGCATGGCCAGTAAACTCCAAACCTTTGGAGTTAACCCTCACGACAGGAAGAAGATGGCTGCCCATCGCAAAAGTGCCACGTCCACACCACCAGGAACAGCAGGGAGGGTAGAGACACCCACACCCCCTGCCGACGAAAACGGCAAACACCCCAAACTACCGGAGCGGTCAGGCGACACTTCCTCACCGTACGGCAGCTCAGGTGAGACTCCTGGTGTAGTTATATTGTGTTCTTCCGGAAGGTCTTGTGTGGTCACCTGGGAATTAAGGGTCAACAACTTGTCGCCACGAGAGAACAGATTATGGGCTATTCATGCCCGTGCCACCTTTTGGGTGGTTTAATCTTTATCATCAAGAGAACAGACGCCATTGCCACTAGGCCCAAACCTGACAGACTGCTCACGTGTCCCTCTAATATCCATACTGGAGCCTTCAAACACCTAAGGCCTTGGTGTACAAATTAACCCCAGTAGAACAATAAACTAACCTTAGTAGAAATTTCCTATAAATCGATAAATTCTCCATTGATTGGTTACTATAATTAATTTATCCCCAAGTTGTTTTGGGATATGACTTGGGGGAATTTAAATCCATACAGTCTGCTCAATTAAACATACAGTCCACTAAGCTATCGAAAGAAATAAAAAAAAAATTAATTATACACTATAAATTTACATTAAATTAATTAATTAATAATTAAAATAAATAAAGTCCCACGAGTCAGAATTCACCACAATCACAGCCTGGTTGATCAGTTATCCTTTGGAGGTGTTTATCATGTTCTCTCTTGAACACTGTGAGGGGTCGGCCAGTTATGTCCCTTATGTGTAGTGGAAGCGTGTTGAACAGTCTCGGGCCTCTGATGTTGATAGTTCTCTCTTGAACACTGTGAGGGGTCGGCCAGTTATGTCCCTTATGTGTAGTGGAAGCGTGTTGAACAGTCTCGGGCCTCTGATGTTGATAGTTCTCTCTTGAACACTGTGAGGGGTCGGCCAGTTATGTCCCTTATGTGTAGTGGAAGCGTGTTGAACAGTCTCGGGCCTCTGATGTTGATAGTTCTCTCTTGAACACTGAATTGTCGGCCAGTTATGTCCCTTATGTGTAGTGGAAGCGTGTTGAACAGTCTCGGGCCTCTGATGTTGATAGTTCTCTCTTGAACACTGTGAGGGGTCGGCCAGTTATGTCCCTTATGTATAGTGGAAGCGTGTTGAACAGTCTCGGGCCTCTGATGTTGATAGTTCTCTCTTGAACACTGTGAGGGGTCGGCCAGTTATGCCTCTTATGTGTAGTGGAAGCGTGTTGAACAGTCTCGGGCCTCTGATGTTGATAGTTCTCTCTTGAACACTGTGAGGGGTCGGCCAGTTATGCCCCTTATGTGTAGTGGAAGCGTGTTGAACAGTCTCGGGCCTCTGATGTTGATAGTTCTCTCTTGAACACTGTGAGGGGTCTGCCAGTTATGCCCCTTATGTGTAGTGGAAGCGTGTTGAACAGTCTCGGGCCTCAGATGTTGATAGTTCTCTCTCAGAGTACCTCTGCACCTCTGCTCTTCAACGGGGGTATTCTGCACATCCTGCCATGCCTCCTGGTCTCATGTGCTGTTATTTCTGTGGTGAATCACTTAACTATCAGCATAAACAAGAGGTGGTGCTCATGTAACTACCAGACAGATCTACCCATCACACGAACATCCTAACGTCCACGATTCACTCATCAAATATATGATAAGTTTTGGGGACTAGTTTTTATAACACACAAAGAGCTCAAACATCCCGTCATCGCTTCATCAATGCAAACATCTCGTTTGGACAAAGTTCTGTTCATTTATGGAGCCAACTTCCAGATAACATAATAAACAATCCCTTGATTGTTTCAAGCGAAGGTAAGACATGTATATGAATGAGTTTGGGTAGATATAACGAGTTGTCTCATAAACTTACCTATTTAACTTACAGAACATAGACGATGTGTACACAAAATTTATATTATTAGAGGGAAACATTATCATTCAAATAATATTACTGTAAGCTTAAAAATATTATTGCCCGCTCTGTCGCAAGAGTCAAGAGCTCTCCAGCTTATAACAATAACATGGTTTACCATTAAAAGAAAGTCATGGTTGATGTCTCAATGACACTGTCTCAATGACACTGTCTCAATGACCCTGTCTCAATGACCCTGTCTCAATGACCCTGTCTCAATGACACTGTCTCAATGACCCTGTCTCAATGACGCTGTCTTAATGACACTGTCTCAATGACACTGTCTCAATGACGCTGTCTCAATGACACTGTCTCAATGACCCTGTCTCAATGACCCTGTCTCAATGACACTGTCTCAATGACGCTGTCTCAATGACGCTGTCTCAATGACACTGTCTCAATGACACTGTCTCAACTACCCTGTCTCAATGACACTGTCTCAATGACACTGTCTCAATGACCCTGTCTCAACTACCCTGTCTCAATGACACTGTCTCAACGGCCCTGTCTCAATGACACTGTCTCAATGACCCTGTCTCAATGACCCTGTCTCAATGACCCTGTCTCAACTACCCTGTCTCAATGACCCTGTCTCAATGACCCTGTCTCAATGACCCTGTCTCAACTACCCTGTCTCAATGACACTGTCTCAATTACCCTGTCTCAACTACCCTGTCTCAGTGACACCTGGTCTTCACTCTTGCATCTGCTCACGTTCCTCCTCACATCAAACACCAGAAGCAGCCATGTTGTGAAGATAATTGTTTTAATGAGTGAATGAGGGGAGGTGGGAGGGAGAGAGAGGGGAGGGAGAGAGAGGGGAGGGAAAGGGTGAGAGAGAGAGGGGAAGTAGGGAGGGAGAGGGGGTGAGAGCTCTGCTGATAGCTGCTCTTAACATTTTTGTCAATTTGAAATGATAAAATGCCAGGTGGTACGTGTTCATTAATTAGTATTGCAGCAATATCTTCCTGAGGAAGGCAATTACAGGTATTTTAAGAACGATGATGATTGAGCGCACGTGTGCTGGCGCAGGCGCACTGGCCGCCTGGGGATCTTAGTGTTTAGTGAAGGAGGTGAAGTCTTACAGGTGTGGAGTTTGAAGGTTTGGAATGACCACTAGGAGCTTCTTGATACACCTATCATGGGATTGGATTGTTGTTGTTATAGATTCAGCTACTCGGAACAAGTTCCAAGTAGCACGGGCTATGGTGAGCCCGTGATGGGATTGGAAGTGAGACCTTGCATTACTAAGTTGCATGTCGTGACAGCAGTGGTTGCAAAACCTTCGAAGAGTCCGGAACTCTCGATAATCATCCTATCGTCACCATAATGTCATCCCATCGTTATCTTGAGGTTATCTTGAGATAATTTTGGGGCTTTAGTGTCCCCGAGGCCCGGTCTTCGACCAGGCCTCCACCCCCAGGAAGCAGCCCGTGACAGCTGACTAACACCCAGGTACCTATTTTACTGCTAGATAACAGGGGCATAGGGTGAAAGAAACTCTGCCCATTGTTTCTCACCGGCGCCCGGGATCGAACCCGGGACCACAGGATCACAAGTCCTGTGTGCTGTCCGCTCGGCCGACCGGCTGCCACTCGTCACCAAGACGATGGGATGACTTCAACTACCACACAAAGACTCACGCAGCAGCAGCAGCAGCAGCAGCAGCAGCAGCAGCAGTCTCTCTCCCTCTGTGTCTGTCTGAACCACACAGCTTCCCCAGCACCAGTCCGGGGTGGATATTGCCTTAGCAACATGTCTCCTGCAGACAGTAACATGTCTCCTGCAGACAGTAACATGTCTCCTGCAGACAGCAACGTGTCTCCTGCAGACAGTAACATATCCCCTGCAGACAGTAACATGTCTCCTGCAGACAGTAACATATCCCCTGCAGACAGTAACATGTCTCCTGCAGACAGTAACATGTTCCCTGCAGACAGCAACATGTCTCCTGCAGACAGTAACATGTCTCCTGCAGACAGCAACATGTCTCCTGCTGACAGTAACATATCCCCTGCAGACAGTAACATGTCTCCTGCAGACAGCAACATGTCTCCTGCAGACAGTAACATATCCCCTGCAGACAGTAACATGTTCCCTGCAGACAGCAACATGTCTCCTGCAGACAGTAACATGTCCCCTGCAGACAGCAGCATATCCCCTGCAGACAGCAACATGTTCCCTGCAGACAGTAACATGTTCCCTGCAGACAGCAACATGTCTCCTGCAGACAGTAACATGTCCCCTGCAGACAGCAACATATCCCCTGCAGACAGCAACATGTTCCCTGCAGACAGCAACATATCCCCTGCAGACAGCAACATGTTCCCTGCAGACAGCAACATATCCCCTGCAGACAGTAACATGTCCCCTGCAGACAGCAACATGTCTCCTGCAGACAGCAACATGTCTCCTGCAGACAGCAACATGTCTCCTGCAGACAGTAACATGTCTCCTGCAGACAGCAACATGTCCCCTGCAGACAGTAACATGTCCCCTGCAGACAGCAGCATATCCCCTGCAGACAGTAACATGTCCCCTGCAGACAGCAACATGTCTCCTGCAGACAGTAACATGTCTCCTGCAGACAGTAACATGTCTCCTGCAGACAGCAACATGTCTCCTGCAGACAGAAACATGTCTCCTGCAGACAGTAACATGTCTCCTGCAGACAGTAACATGTCTCCTGCAGACAGCAACATGTCTCCTGCAGACAGTAACATGTCTCCTGCAGACAGTAACATGTCCCCTGCAGACAGTAACATGTCTCCTGCAGACAGTAACATGTCTCCTGCAGACAGTAACATGTCCCCTGCAGACAGCAACATGTCTCCTGCAGACAGCAACATGTCTCCTGCAGACAGTAACATGTCTCCTGCAGACAGTAACATGTCTCCTGCAGACAGCAACATGTCTCCTGCAGACAGTAACATGTCTCCTGCAGACAGTAACATGTCCCCTGCAGACAGCAACATGTCCCCTGCAGACAGCAACATGTCTCCTGCAGACAGCAACATATCCCCTGCAGACAGCAACATGTCTCCTGCAGACAGCAACATGTCTCCTGCAGACAGCAACATATCCCCTGCAGACAGCAACATGTCCCCTGCAGACAGCAACATGTCCCCTGCAGACAGCAACATATCCCCTGCAGACAGCAACATGTCCCCTGCAGACAGCAACATGTCCCCTGCAGACAGCAACATGTCCCCTGCAGACAGCAACATGTCCCCTGCAGACAGCAACATGTCCCCTGCAGACAGCAACATGTCCCCTGCAGACAGCAACATGTCCCCTGCAGACAGCAACATATCCGCTGCAGACAGCAACATGTCCCCTGCAGACAGCAACATATCCCCTGCAGACAGCAACATATCCCCTGCAGACAGCAACATATCCCCTGCAGACAGCAACATATCCCCTGCAGACAGCAACATATCCCCTGCAGAGAGCAACATATCCCCTGCAGACAGCAACATATCCCCTGCAGACAGCAACATATCCCCTGCAGACAGCAACATATCCCCTGCAGAGAGCAACATATCCCCTGCAGACAGCAACATATCCCCTGCAGACAGCAACATATCCCCTGCAGACAGCAACATATCCCCTGCAGACAGCAACATATCCCCTGCAGACAACCTTCAACTCCTGCGAACTGAGCATATCAAGGCCCTCACACACAGCTCTCTCTAGCCTGTACCTCTTACGACTGTAAGTTAACACAAAGGTTTTTACCTCATAACAAATGATGATATTCGCGTGAAATATGTTTGTGGGGGGTTAAGTATCTAATGAATTTATATGAATTTTACCTGAGGGTCACTAGTTCTAGTGGCCTCGATGAGGACAGGAAGCCGGCGGCTTGTTAAATGTCCTCCCTATTGGACTTTTGACAATGTGGGGATGCGAGGGGGGGGGGCAAACGCGGTTGGTTGCTGAGCGGACTGGATTGCTGGGTAATCTAACCATGGGTTATGTCACCAACCATGGGTTATGTCACCAACCATGGGTTATGTCACCAACCATGGGTTATGTCACCAACCATGGGTCTCCAACCATATGTCACCAACCATGGGTTATGTCACCAACCATGGGTTATGTCAACCCATGGGTTATGTCACCAACCATGGGTTATGTCACCAACCATGGGTTATGTCACCAACCATGGGTTACGTCACCAACCATGGGTTATGTCACCAACCATGGGTTATGTCACCAACCATGGGTTATGTCACCAACCATGGGTTATGTCACCAACCATGTCACCAACCATGGGTTACGTCACCAACCATGGGTTACGTCACCAACCATGGGTTATGTCACCAACCATGGGTTACGTCACCAACCATGGGTTATGTCACCAACCATGGGTTATGTCACCAACCATGGGTTATGTCACCAACCATGGGTTACCAACCATGGGTTATGTCACCAACCATGTCACCAACCATGGGTTACGTCACCAACCATGGGTTACGTCACCAACCATGGGTTATCACCAACCATGGGTTATGTCACCAACCATGGGTTATGTCACCAACCATGGGTTATGTCACCAACCATGGGTTACGTCACCAACCATGGGTTACGTCACCAACCATGGGTTACGTCACCAATGGGTTACGTCACCAACCATGGGTTACGTCACCAACCATGGGTTATGTCACCAACCATGGGTTATGTCACCAACCATGGGTTACGTCACCAACCATGGGTTACGTCACCAACCATGGGTTACGTCACCAACCATGGGTTACCAACCATGTCACCAACCATGGGTTACGTCACCAACCATGGGTTACGTCACCAACCATGGGTTACGTCACCAACCATGGGTTACGTCACCAACCATGTCACCAACCATGGGTTACGTCACCAACCATGGGTTACGTCACGTCACCAACCATGGGTTACGTCACCAACCATGGGTTACGTCACCAACCATGGGTTACGTCACCAACCATGGGTTACGTCACCAACCATGGGTTATCACCAACCATGGGTTACGTCACCAACCATGGGTTACGTCACCAACCATGGGTTACGTCACCAACCATGGGTTACGTCACCAACCATGGGTTACGTCACCAACCATGGGTTACGTCACCAACCATGGGTTATGTCACCAACCATGGGTTACGTCACCAACCATGGGTTACGTCACCAACCATGGGTTACGTCACCAACCATGGGTTACGTCACCAACCATGGGTTACGTCACCAACCATGGGTTACGTCACCAACCATGGGTTACGTCACCAACCATGGGTTACGTCACCAACCATGGGTTACGTCACCAACCATGGGTTACGTCACCAACCATGGGTTACGTCACCAACCATGGGTTACGTCACCAACCATGGGTTACGTCACCAACCATGGGTTACGTCACCAACCATGGGTTACGTCACCAACCATGGGTTACCAACCATGGGTTATGTCACCAACGTTACGTCACCAACCATGGGTTACGTCACCAACCATGGGTTATGTCACCCAACCATGGGTTACGTCACCAACCATGGGTTACGTCACCAACCATGGGTTACGTCACCAACCATGGGTTACGTCAAAACCACACCAAACCATGGGTTACGTCACCAACCATGGGTTATGTCACCAACCATGGGTTACGTCACCAACCATGGGTTACGTCACCAACCATGGGTTACGTCACCAACCCATGGGTTACGTCACCAACCATGGGTTACGTCACCAACCATGGGTTACGTCACCAACCATGGGTTATGTCACCAACCATGGGTTACGTCACCAACCATGGGTTACGTCACCAACCATGGGTTACGTCACCAACCATGGGTTACGTCACCAACCATGGGTTACGTCACCAACCATGGGTTACGTCACCAACCATGGGTTACGTCACCAACCATGGGTTACGTCACCAACCATGGGTTACGTCACCAACCATGGGTTACGTCACCAACCATGGGTTACGTCACCAACCATGGGTTACGTCACCAACCATGGGTTACGTCACCAACCATGGGTTACGTCACCAACCATGGGTTATGTCACCAACCATGGGTTACGTCACCAACCATGGGTTACGTCACCAACCATGGGTTACGTCACCAACCATGGGTTACGTCACCAACCATGGGTTACGTCACCAACCATGGGTTACGTCACCAACCATGGGTTACGTCACCAACCATGGGTTACGTCACCAACCATGGGTTACGTCACCAACCATGGGTTACGTCACCAACCATGGGTTATGTCACCAACCATGGGTTACGTCACCAACCATGGGTTACGTCACCAACCATGGGTTACGTCACCAACCATGGGTTATGTCACCAACCATGGGTTACGTCACCAACCATGGGTTACGTCACCAACCATGGGTTATGTCACCAACCATGGGTTACGTCACCAACCATGGGTTACGTCACCAACCATGGGTTACGTCACCAACCATGGGTTATGTCACCAACCATGGGTTACGTCACCAACCATGGGTTACGTCACCAACCATGGGTTACGTCACCAACCATGGGTTATGTCACCAACCATGGGTTACGTCACCAACCATGGGTTACGTCACCAACCATGGGTTACGTCACCAACCATGGGTTACGTCACCAACCATGGGTTACGTCACCAACCATGGGTTACGTCACCAACCATGGGTTACGTCACCAACCATGGGTTACGTCACCAACCATGGGTTACGTCACCAACCATGGGTTACGTCACCAACCATGGGTTATGTCACCAACCATGGGTTACGTCACCAACCATGGGTTACGTCACCAACCATGGGTTACGTCACCAACCATGGGTTACGTCACCAACCATGGGTTACGTCACCAACCATGGGTTATGTCACCAACCATGGGTTACGTCACCAACCATGGGTTACGTCACCAACCATGGGTTACGTCACCAACCATGGGTTATGTCACCAACCATGGGTTATAAAAACTTACAATAACGCCTCCAACCATAAACCACGGTTTATGGTTGGAGGCGTGACATAAACAATGGTTGGAGGCGTGACATAAACAATGGTTGGAGGCGGAACATAAACAATAGTTGGAGACGTGACATAAACAATGGTTGGAGGCGGAACATAAACAATGGTTGGAGGCGTGACATAAACAATGGTTGGAGACGTGACATAAACAATGGTTGGAGGCGTGACATAAACAATGGTTGGAGGCGTGACATAAACAATGGTTGGAGGCGGAACATAAACAATGGTTGGAGGCATGACATAAACAATGGTTGGAGGCGTGACATAAACAATGGTTGGAGGCGTGACATAAACAATGGTTGGAGGCGTGACATAAACAATGGTTGGAGGCGGAACATAAACAATGGTTGGAGGCGGAACATAAACAATGGTTGGAGGCGGAACATAAACAATGGTTGGAGGCGTGACATAAACAATGGTTGGAGGCGGAACATAAACAATGGTTGGAGGCGGAACATAAACAATGGTTGGAGGCGGAACATAAACAATGGTTGGAGACGTGACATAAACAATGGTTGGAGGCATGACATAAACAATGGTTGGAGGCATGACATAAACAATGGTTGGAGGCGTGACATAAACAATGGTTGGAGGCATGACATAAACAATGGTTGGAGGCGTGACATAAACAATGGCTGGAGGTGTGACATAAACAATGGTTGGAGGCGTGACATAAACAATAGTTGGAGGCGTGACATAAACAATGGTTGGAGGCATGACATAAACAATGGTTGGAGGCATGACATAAACAATGGTTGGAGGCGTGACATAAACAATGGTTGGAGACGTGACATAAACAATGGTTGGAGGCGTGACATAAACAATAGTTGGAGGCGTGACATAAACAATGGTTGGAGGTGTGACATAAACAATGGTTGGAGGCGTGACATAAACAATGGTTGGAGGCGGAACATAAACAATGGTTGGAGGCGTGACATAAACAATAGTTGGAGGCGTGACATAAACAATGGTTGGAGGTGTGACATAAACAATGGTTGGAGGCGGAACATAAACAATGGTTGGAGGCGTGACATAAACAATGGTTGGAGGCGTGACATAAACAATGGTTGGAGGTATGACATAAACAATGGTTGGAGGCGTGACATAAACAATGGTTGGAGGCGGAACATAAACAATGGTTGGAGGTGTGACATAAACAATGGTTGGAGGCGGAACATAAACAATGGTTGGAGGCGGAACATAAACAATGGTTGGAGGCGTAACAGACCCAAGAGAAACAATTTATTAACACCACCACCAGAAAGATTAACTTCTTAAGAGGCAAACTTTACCAAAGCGAACATCGAGAAAAAAGTGTTATTGGGAAAGATGGCAGAGAAGTAGCCTCCATTGTAACTTAAAGTTGCAGGTTATTGCCTGTCAGTCATGCCAAGTTAGGACGCATTAGGCACACCCAGATCTCATGAAAGTTTTATGTGTGTAAAGGAGATATTGAGGATTCTGTCACTACTGAAGCAGTTTGAACAACGAAATATATTGCAAATCAATATGTTGTTGCGGAAGGTGAAAAAGATTGAACATGACCTGGGACAATTAAGGTGTTGAAGCATGATATCTGGGTTATCGAGTGGGAATAGTGAACGTGTATATTGTGACAGGTCTATGGCAGGGCAGGGTGCGGTGTCTTAATAAGGGAATATACTGAGTTTGGAACTGTGGATAGGAAAAGTGTACTTCGACTTAGTAATTATATATCACCCACAAAATCTGAATTGCAGGCCATTCTGGCTTGTTTGGAGGAAGTTCGTCAAGACGACAAAGATGTTTTTGTGTTTGTTGAAACAAATACAAAACATTTGATTCCTTAAACAGTCGAAATCCAATCTTCATGTCATTGAGGATTGTAAGAAAAGGATAAATGAGATACAGCTGAAAGGTCACAAAGTGAAATTCATGTGGATTTCATCACATGTTGGAGTAGTGCTCAACGAGGTGACGGATGACCTGGCCAAACAGGCCACATTAAGACATTGAATGTGTTTTAACAATGAGACAAATAAGAAGTAAAATCAGAAATATTCAGGCACATGCAGAAATGGCGAGGAGACATATAATGTATGAGAGAAGTCAAACCATGCAACACTACATGTATGTGAGTCAAAACACCCATTTCACTTATGGTAAAAGGAGAAATGCTTGGAGTGACTCTGTGTACATGCGGCTCAGGCTTGGGTACAAATATTACTGGGAATATGGGATAGGTGTCCATGATAAGGACACGAAGTGTAAACTATGTGGTATGTTAAGGTCTCACACCCTGGCCCATTATGTTCTTGATTGTCCGTTGATTAATGTATATAGAAACACTGAGATAAGGACTGTTCCTGAACAAATAGCCTGGATGTGTCACAACGGAAAGGTTGATGATATTCTTGAGAGAGATAAGAATTTTCCACCAAGATTGTAACCTTTTGTTGAATTGTCTAACATATAGACAAGCTCGTAGGGGCCTCGTAGCCTGGTGGATAGCGCGCAGGACTCGTAATTCTGTGGCGCGGGTTCGATTCCCGCACGAGGCAGAAACAAATGGGCAAAGTTTCTTTCACCCTGAATGCCCCTGTTACCTAGCAGTAAATAGGTACCTGGGTGTTAGTCAGCTGTCACGGGCTGCTTCCTGGGGGTGGAGGCCTGGTCGAGGACCGGGCCGCGGGGACACTAAAGCCCCGAAATCATCTCAAGATAACCTCAAGATATAAATAAATTGTTATATTGTTGAATAATATATATATATATATATATATATATATATATATATATATATATATATATATATATATATATATATATATATATATATATATTGTGACGGTAAAGTGTTGGAGTGCTGATGTTCGGCTGTTTCATTAGCTGGGGTCAAGGCCTCGTCACATTACAGAAAAAAAAAAGAAGATCGTTTGCCCGTTTGTCTGTGGTAAGGCAGTCGGAAGACACAAAACACAAAGTATAAACAATGAAATTTTAATTATTCTAGAAAAGAAGATATGAATAAAGACAATCTCTTGGCTTACGTAAAATTCAAAACAAGTCAACAAACAAAACAACATGAATAATTAATGGCAGTAACAATTTACTCTAAGACAAAATAAAGTGCAAGTAATAGTAGTGATATAAATTAAATCAGGTGCTGAGAATACTGGCTTCAAGCTGCCACCTCCCCTAGTACACGACAGCCAGAGCTTTGTCTACTAGAGAGAGATGTCAACTCCAAAGAGCACAGAGATATTCTGAGGAGTGCAGCGTGTGCTGGCTCAGACGTCGACTCAGGTAGTGGCGTGAGTGCAGGTGCGGCGACACACCAGCCAATCAGGAACAGGCAGGTGGAGAATGAGTAGTTTGCTGGTTGACGGCGGGCGAAAGCCGGTGTGTCTGGTGGTGCAAGGTACGCTTTGCTTCCTGGGCAAAACGTTTGGCGATACTGGTGGACGTATCTTCAATATAGTATCTTGTACTTGAATGACGTAAATTGTGTAGGGAAGAGCAGGCTCAATCTCTCTTGAAAGAGATTATCGTCACAATATATATATATATATATATAGAATATGTTGTACCTAGTAGCCAGAACGCACTTCTCGGCCTACTATGCAAGGCGCGATTTGCCTAATAGACCGAGTGATTTTCTTTATTTTCAATAAATTGTTTCCAATTAGCTTATTTGGATTATTATTATTATATTATATTGAAATATAAATTACTGACATAGTTGTGTTAGTTTAGGTTAGGTTAAGATAGGTTAGATTAGGTTAGGTAGGGTTACCTTGAAGTTACCTTGAGGTGCTTCCAGGGCTTAGTGTCCCCGCGGCTCGGTCGTCGACCAGGCCTCCTGGTTGCTGGATTGATCAACCAGGGTTGGTTAAGTTCGGTCATATATCTTCGATAGTTTTAACTCAAATTTAAACAAATTAACTTATGAAAAGATAAATCGGCCCATTTCATTATGTATAAGAAAAAATGAGAAAAATATATAAATTCAAGAAAATTTGGCTTATTAGACAAATTGGGCCTTGCATAGTAGGCCGAGTACGACGTTCTGGCTACTATCTGGCCGCATTCGAATAGGCGCATCTTATCATATACCTACTATATAGATGCCACCTTTGTGACAGATAAAAACATGAGTTTTTGAAAAACAGCGCCATCTGTTGCACATAATAACAACATGCACGCTATACTAAATATGTCACGAATTCCATTTCAATGTTTCCGATTGCATTAATAAATTTTATTTTCATAGATTTCTATTTATTTGATTTTTTATTGAATTATTTTGTGTGACATTGTGATGGAATTGGACTGTGTTGTTTACCAAACCATTCATTTTGTAAGTAAAAGTATAGATGCCACACCTGTGACAGGTAAAACTATGTTTTTCTTGAAAAACAGCGCCATCTGTTGCATGTAAGAGCAACACACATGCTATACTAAATATGTTACAATTCCATTTCAATGTTTCTGATTACATTCATTAATTGAATTTTCATAGATTTTTATTTATTTTCATTTTGATTTAATTATTTTGTGTGAATTGCGTTGGAATTGAGCTGTGTTGCTTACAACACCGTTCATTTCGTGAGTATAGTTTATATTTTTATTTTTTCATATTTTCATTTAATTTTTTAACTGATTTTCTTATATTTCAGTGATGGGAACATCAGATCATTTGGGAAGGCATCGGACGAGGGAGTGGGGAATGGTGGGGAGGACGAGGGAACGGAAGTGGGAGATGGTGGGGAGGACGAGGGGACAAGGGAGGGGGTAATGGTGGGGACGGACGAGGGGACGGGGGAGTTTGGGATGGTGGGGACGAGGGGATGGGGGAATAGAGAATGGTTGGGAGGCCGAGGAGACGGGTGAGAGAGGAAAGGTGAGGAGGACTGAGGGACAGGGAAGGTTGCTGTGGCCGGGTACTGCTAGTGTGTGTGTATGTATGTGTATGTATGTATATATATATATATATATATATATATATATATATATATATATATATATATTTGACGTTGAACACCATTTGTGTGTTTTTACCTCAATAAACTTATTTCAGTTTGATGAGGAAGTCTTTTTTTTAATGGATTTTATCTGGAGAGTTTTAGGGGTAACTTGTAAGTTTTCTTCACAGGTGTGGAGAGTACCTTAGTAATGAGGTTATTATTGGTGAAGAGCTGCCTGAATGTTGACCTTGTTGTGTTGGTGGGGGGGGTAGGAACGGTGGGGCTCACTGGTCTCTCCTTACTCACCACCTTCCCTTACTCATGCCTTCCCTTACTCCCCTTACTCACTCCCTTCCCTTACTCATGCCTTCCCTTACTTCCCTTCTCACCCCCTTCCCTTACTCACTCCCTTCCCTTACTCATCCCCATCCCTTACTCACCCCTTCCCTTATTCACTCTCTTCCCTTACCGCCTTCCTTACTCACCCCTTCCCTTGTTCATCCCCTTCCCTTACCCATCCCCTTCCCTTACCTCTCTTCCCTTACTCACCCCCTTCCCTTACTCCCTTCCCTTACTCACCCCCCTTCCCTTACTCATCCCCTTCCCTTACTCACCTCTCTTCCCTTACTCACCCCCTTCCCTTACTCCCTTCCCTTACTCACCCTCTTCCCTTACTCATCTCCTTCCCTTACCTCTCTTCCCTTACTCACCCCCTTCCCTAACTCCCTTCCCTAACTCCCTTCCCTTACTCACCCTCTTCCCTTACTCACCCCCTTCCCTTACTCATCCCCCTTC